TACCTTTTAAGAAAAAACACCTTTTGGAAAATCCTTTGAGATATGGGCACAACCTTTTGAAGGTACATGATCTTTTGAAGGTACATGACCTTGTAGAGGTACATGACCTTTTGAAAATACATAACCTTTTAATAATAGACATGTCTAATTAGGAAAAATGTCTCACAATCCCCTGCCATTTTTTCTAATTTGATTATACATACTAGATCTAACAACAATTCTATAAGTAATATGCATAAATAATGGTATTTTGCAATTTGAACCATTACATAGTGAAAGTTTATTACAACAAATCTGAATAATATGGTAGACAAGCTTTGAGCCATGCATTCTTTTTGACAAGTTGTATAAAAGTTCACACATATCACTTTGATACCAAAACATCTCAATCGTGGTTGACACGTAAAATGCCATGTGTCTGTATCATTTGTGAGAGATTTTAGAGCCAAGCCTGCTCCTAGAAGTGGCACCACTTCGCTCTCATATAGTAGACTCCATCAAAAGTGCCTCCACTATTTTAGTACTTTGATGAGAAACCATTAATAGGTCTATTAAGAGTAAATACTCAACCTTCATTTTAAGACCATGGGAACCAAGTCTATTTTTTGCTTTGGGATGTTAGAGAAAATTTATAGTACTTCTAACCACTCTAATAATGTACTTTGACTCATTGAACTCAAGACTTGACATTGTATCAAGCGTTAAGTTGAATTTCCATTATTGGTGATTATATTCAATAGGCTTGAGAACCATCCCCCTTAATGTTTTATTCATCAAGTCTCTTGCTAATCCCTTTATTAAAGGATCGACTAGATTCATATATACTTGGTTTGACATAGAGTACTTCTTATTTTCCGCACTAGTAAAGTACTTCTCCTTCTTTTTCCAAAATTGACAATCCTTCTTGAAGTGGCCATGTTTTCCACAAAAGAAACATTTTGCTTCTTTCTTTGGTTTCTTGCTTTTATGTCCAACACCAGGATCATGGAAAACCTTCTTATTTACAAACTTGGAAGTTTGTTTTTCTTCTACCATATGAATTTTGGAATCCAAAACTGATTGTTCCTTTGATTCATCCTGCAAACAAAATTCTTCTTCCACACGCAAAGATTTGGCCAAATCATCAAGTGATATGTCATCCTTTTTATGTTTGAGACTTCTTCTGAAATCTCTCCATGATGGGGGTAATAAATCAATTATTGAAGAGACAATGATGGTTTCATCCATATGCATTTTATGCATTTTGAAATTATTCAGAATTCTTTCTATTTCATGAAGTTGTTCCATAACAGGTCTATTATCTACCATTTTATAGGAATTAAAACGAGAGACAAGAAATTTCTTACTTGTAGCATCCTCTTGCATGTACTTTGTCTCTAGTTTCTCCCATAATTCTCTTGTAGTAGGCACTCCTTGATAAATGTCAAATAGTGCATTTGACATTGCATTCAACATGTGTCCCTTGCAGATTTCATCATCATGTTCAAATTTCTGCTGCTTCCTTGTTTCAGCAATGGTTTCATTCTCTGTTTCCTCAGGTTTTAGAGTGTTTAGCACATAAGCAACTTGCAAAGACGCCAGAAGAAAATGAATCCTTCTCTGCCATTGAATGAAATTTCCTCCATCAAACCTCTCTAACTTCATGAAGTCAGTACTCAGTAGCCATCTCCCTTAGGGTATGAAGTGCAGCCATCTTGTTGCAAATAGTAGTAACCGAAAATTTCCTTTAGATTGTTAGAACCAGGATAGTGACTATCAACTTCAAGGCGTGTATCAATGCCACTTTCTTAAAGGAAAATTCACCCCTTTATATTGCAAATAGGATCAACGAATTTCTTTAGGATACAATGAAGAACCTGCTTGTGTTATGCACAAAACAAAAGTAGCTAGAGAGAGTTTTGTTTATAATAGAATTGTAGTTTTTTTTGTTGTATACTTTTACAAAAAATCTTACTTCTTATATAGGATTGTTGGTACCTTTTAAGAAAATGTGTCTTTTGGAAAACCTTTGAGATATGGGCACAACCTTTTGGAGGTACATGATCTTTTAATAATAGCCATGTCCAATTAGGAAAAATGTCTCACAAAGTTTATCTATGTTCGTAGTTCTTTCTGACTGGTGATTAGAAAACTGAGAAAACTGTTGATCAAGCGGATAAGATATAGGCCCGATGCACCACTTGTCCTTCATGGTATCAGTTGCACGTTTCAAGGAGGGCACAAAATTGGTATTGTTGGCCGAACTGGCAGTGGAAAGACTACTCTCATAGGTGCACTGTTCCAATTAGTGGAACCAGCAGGAGGAAAAATTATAGTAGATGGCATTGACTACTCTTTTCAATGGGACTGTCAGATATAATTCGGACCCTTTATCTCAAATCACAGACCAGGAAATATGGGAGGTAAATTTCAATACTTTTTCGCTGTTGGTTGATGTTTAGGATCTAAGCATCAGTCAGTTGGTTTGACTGAGAGATTATTATTCTCGGAACTGTTAAAGCAGTTTTTGTTCTTAGCTTCTATATGTGACATGCTCATGATTTCTTGTGCAATTTCAGGATCTTGGAAACTGTCAGCTTCGGGAAGCTGTCCAAGAGAAGGAAGAGGGCCTGGACTCCTTAGGTAAGTATTAATGTGGTATTTATGAACTTTCCAGAATTTTATTTTTTTTTAATGATATTAACTATAAATTGGTTAAATAGTTGTGGAAGATGGATCAAATTGGAGTATGGGGCAAAGACAACTTTTTTGTTTGGGGCGTGTACTTTTGAGGAGAAGCCAGATATTGGTGCTTGACGAAGCGACTGGATCAATTGACAATGCAACTGACACCATCTTACAGAAAACTATTCAAACCGAATTTGCAGATTGCACTGTGATTATTGTGGCTCACAGGATACCAACTGTGATGGATTGCACAATGGTGCTTGGCATCAGTGATGGTGAGCGACTAAGTTCCATGTTTGAACATCATCTATAACTTTATTATAAATGAGGTCTGCATATGCTTCATTCTTGAGGTTTTCTTTTGCTATCATTATTAGCAATATGTCATATAATACTGCAGAAGCTTTTAGTATTTAAAGAAAGAGTTTCTGTAATGTTGCAGGAAAGCTTGTGGAGTATGATGAGCCAATGAAGTTAATGAAGCAAGAATGTTCCCTGTTTGGGCAGCTTGTGAAGGAATATTGGTCTCATTTGCACTCTGCAGAATTACATTGAAGCTAAATTTTCTTGTACATATCTCTTGCCTTGGCAGCAAGAATTGTAAGCATAATGTATAGTATCGATTGCCACAATATTTTTGGGCAGGAATGCAAAGAACGAGAGAAACATTTGTTCTTTCAGTTAGATTGCAATAGCTCTACTCAAAACTCTTACGCATCCTTATTTATCAACAGTAATGAGCTATATATATATTGCCCCTTTTTTCATAGAAATTTCAACAGCTTCTCCTGCACTGCATGATTAATTGTTCCTGATGAGTAGTCGAAATTCAAGACAGCCACTGTCCTCAATGCATTGAGTTCGAAACACGTGTGTGCATAAATGCCGAAAAGAGCTGAAGAAAATGTCCATAAATTGAACTGTAACAGTTGTCATGTTAAATATTAATGTGTTAATGATGTATTAAAATTTTGATTTAAACATATTGTAACTCTCGTCTTTTGTGTTTGTTTTGTTATGTTATGTGTTTGCGCAAGAGATAAGACAAATTTGTACGTTTTATCTATCGTCATTCATGCCAAATTGTAAAGTATTGAGCATCTGAACCTGTTTTCATTAATCACTATTGCGTGATCTGATGGTAAAAGAGTAAATAAAGATCTAATATGATTTCTCAAGTTCGAGCCCGTTTGATAATAAAAAAATAAGAAGAGGATCTAATATGGTTTCTTGAGTTCGAGTTCCTACGGCCTCTAATAGAGTTGGCTATTAGAGCTCTTATCTGACCGATAGTTTTAAGGTCCCGGGGGATTATTCAGGTACACGCAAATCGGTTCGGACCCCCTGATCATAAATAAAAATTAAAAAACAAAAAGAACCTGTTTTTATTTGATGAATTAACGTCTTTTTTTTAACTCTTTTCTTTTGCTTTCCATACATGTCTCTACACATGGAAAGAAAGTGGACCTGAGATGAAAAGTGAACAATTTGTATTCTTATTTACAAATTATCTCAAACTTCTTAGTTGATGTCTTTTCATGCTTTTCTGTTTTTTCACCTTAAATCCTAAACTATGAACTTTAAACTATTTCCTAGAAAATCTTAACTATGGCTACTAGGGTGGAAAAAAAAAAACTGAAAACCAGAACCAAAAAATTGGACCACAAAACCGGTTTTTTTCGATTTCGGTTAACAAATTATGCATTTGGCCTTTTGGGTTTGACTTTGCAATCCCGAAGACCCTAACTCTTCAGACTCTCAGTCTCTCTCAGACTCGCGTTCTCATGCGGTAAGCCTCAGCCACACAAAATCACAAATTTTTCACGTCGCGTCGCCACCGATCCTTGTCACACGCCGCCGATCTTTGCTCACCAGACGGCAGACACCAGGCAGTTGCAGACTTGCAATCACCATTTTCTTTCTCTCAGTCACCGAAAAGCTCACCAGTACCGATCTTTGCTCACGCTACAGATCTTGCTCACCAGACGGCAGACACCAGGCAGTTGCAGACTTGCAGTCACCATTCTTCTTTCTTTCAGTCACCGAAAAGCTCAGCAGACCAGTCACCGATCTTTTTCTTTCTCCTTTCCTCTTCAGTCTTGGGGTGGTACCCAGGAATCTTCTCCTTGATTTTCTCCAAAAGGCCTTTCTTTTCCTTTGCCTCTCCCTCATGAGATGGTGCCTCTGGGGTGGTGACTCGAACTGCTAAGTCTAAGTGCTAACACTCTGTTTTCTTATTATCCTATTGCTTATAATTGCTGTAAGTTTTTCCTTTAAATTAAATGCAAGTATTTGGATTACTCTTATAATCTGTGATTGATCATTGAGAACTGCTTGTTTGGGTGAACTTTCTGACTGGAATTGTTTCATTGAGTGAGGTCTGTTTCACTGATCAAGAGAATCTGCAACATGCACTAACAGAAGAGCTGTCCAGTTTATTGGGTCTAGATTGAATTGGAGGGTTTGACGGAATTGGGCTGAACAAATCCAGCCCATCATAATTTGAATTTTTGGTTCGGTTTTAAACCGGTTTATAACCGACACCGGAGCGGTTTCGGTTCAATTTTATTTGGAAACCGAAAATCAGTTCGGTTCAAGCTACCGGTTAACCGGTTTTTTCCACCTCTACTAGCCACTTCTCATCATCTTTTTGTTCATTCAATTTCTTCATTTTGTTGGGAAAAATGTGGATATTTGAGGAGAATTTGGCTTGGAAAATCAACCCTTTTTAGGATCAACTCTTGGTGAAGTTCCAAAATTGTAAGCTTTTATTTTTGTTTTCATTTTTTCAAGTAAACTTTTGCTTCCATATTCATAGAGATAATATTTTTGCATGCCAACAATTAAGATTTTTATTTTAGCCTCCATTTAATATTGTTTTCAAGTTCATGCCAACAAATTAATATGCTTCCATATTCATTTGAATTTAACTTATCATACCTTGGGATCCTACTCTTTTCAATGGGACTATGAGAATAATTGGATCCTTTATCGCAACTTATAGACCAAAAACCCCAAGGGATTGACCTGGTAGTCAAGAAGGTGGCTCCCTTCATTGACTTGGGTTCAAACCACTTTGGGCTTATCTTGGAACTTCTATAGAGTGTTCAATGAGTCTTAAAAATTAGTTGAAGTACGTGTAAACTAACTATTAGGATCTAATAGTTGCTTCGACTCAGAGATTCTTGCACATGGAAAGTATTTTTGTTGTTTACTTCTACATGATAATCTTTTCCTGGGCCTTTGGTAGGTACTTAGGAAGTGTCAACTTGGGGAAGCTGTCCAGGAGAAAGAAGAGGGCCTTGACTCCTAGTGTGACGCCTCTCAAGCATTTTATCAAACACTCGGTGTGCGTCACTCCGACACTCTAGAACCTTCTAGAATACTCGGGTATTTGCTAGAATCTTATAATTAATATGTAGTTATAGATGGTAGGTGGTGTAGTAGTTTGGAGTTAGCTAATCTCCACAGTCGATTGTGAAAGATCTAGACCGTCATTGTAAGCTCCATCTACTATATAAGGGGGAGAACTTCATTTGGCCAACCATCCAAGAAGTGAAACTTTCTTCATTAGTAAAGAGTTCTCTTCTAGCATCTTTTGTGAGTAAGTTTTGTGAGTATTCTCTTATTTATGGTAGAAGCTTGAGCGAACAAGGCAACTTAGGACAATCATCGGGAGATTGGCACCTAAGGCCGCACAAGTTTGAAGGGAAACAGTCGGGTCGTGACACTAGGTAATATAGTGGCATTTATGAGCCTTTGTGTTTTTATTTTGATAGAGATTTTAACTTTAAATGGTATATAGTAGTGGAAGATGGATAAGCTGGAGCATGGGGCAAGGAAAACATTTTGTTTGGGGCGTGCAGCTTTTTAGGAGAAGCGGATATTGGTACTTGATGAAGCGACTGTATCAATTGACAACGCAACTGCCACCATTTACAGAAAACTATTCGAACAGAATTTGCAGATTGCACTGTGATCACAGTAGCTCATAGGATACCAACTGTGATGGATGCAACATGGTAAGTAATGGCCAGTAATGAGTTACACCTTTAATCTTCATTTAATGATAATATAACTTAATTATAAATGAGCCCTGAATATGCTTCATTCTTGTGGTTTCTTTTGCTATCATTATTAGCAGTATGTATAAATACTGCAGAAGCTTTTAATATTTAAGCACAGGTTTTTTGTAATGTTGCAGGAAAGCGAGTGGAGTATGATGAGCAATGAAGTTGATGAAGCACAGAAGAATTTATGTTTGGAGCTTGTGAAGGAAATTGGTCTCATTTTGCACTCCGAGATCACATTAGTACATACAGTGAACAATTATTTATCAAGAAAGTGTTTCTCCTTTCTTTGATTCAATAACAACCTAAACTTATTAATACTTCAAAAAGCCATAATCAGAGCAAAACATAAAAAAAAACCAAAAAAAAAAAAAAAAAAAAAAAGGATGTGAATGCTGAAATTAAAATATTAGTAACGAGGGTGTAGTTCAGCCGATAACTGGACTTAGTGGGTAGACTTCACTTGTAATCAGAGCAGATCCAGAAATTTTTGTTAAAGTAGGCTAAAATAAAAGCATATTATATTTTTGCCATTAATATTATATTAGAGTGGACTAAAATATTGAAATTATACATATTTTATTTTTGAAAAAAATTGAAGGTGGGTCATGGCCCACCCTCAACTAGTCCTGCATTTGCTGGTTCAAATCTCACTAGCACGTTGTTGTTATGAGCATTACCTGAACTCTGAAACGAAGATTAGTCTCATAGCTTTCATTATGGGGACACCTCGTGGTTCACCAAAAAAAAAAATATATAGCTAAACTAAATATAAAAACGTCTTCAATATCAATTTCCATAAAGTATTAGCCCATCCATGTCTAAGTCTTCTTTCAATATTTCTAAAAGGACTTATGCAATAAAAATGTTTTTTTAATCATTTATAACTTTTAATTAAACTAAATAAAAATATCTAAAGAAATAACAATGAAAACTGAAAAGGGGCGTTTGGTTAGAGAATATTGGATTACTAAAATCTTATATTACCAAGATTAATGAAAATATTTAGAAAAATGTGTTTGGTTAGTTGATAAGTATATTATATTAATATGTTTGGTTAGAGGGAATAAATTGGTGGGTATGTTATTTAAATTACTAAATTGCCTTCTTTTTAAATATTAATATAATATTATTTTTAGTATTAATTTTTGAATAATTTCTTTTAACCTCTAATATTTCAGATTTAGCTAAAACACATTGCTTATATAAAACTTTAATTTATGACAAAATCACCCTCGCTGCCACAACAAACCATTGTCGGAAGTCTTTGAAAGTCATGGTGAGTAGCTCACCGTGACCACGAGGCTCCAATATGGCCGTTTCTGAAAACTGCCATATCAGGCCAGATCGATGGACCTGGCTGTTAACGGCCAGACCCATCAATCTGGGCGAAAATGGCCAGAATAGATCTGGCCATTTCTGGCCAGATCTGCTCCCGATATGGCCTTTTCGGCCATCAAATGGCCATATCCGGGCCTCTCGATCACGGTGGGCTGCTCACGACGACTCTAGGTGACTTCCGACGACTTCCCGCGATGGCTGACGGTGGTTTGGCTAGCGGTAGGTGACAGCAGGTGGGTGGGGGTGGTGGCTAGGGTAAGCTGAAATTTATTTTGATTTCAAGGGTAATTTTGTCCAAAAAATTAATTAAATGGGGTGAAATATAAAAGCAAGATTCATGTAAATAAATTTAAAAATAAATGTATTATTGTCCTAAAATTTTATTAATAAGGGATAAAATTGTAAAAAAAAAAAAAAAAAAAGATGACCTAAGTAATCTAATAATGCCTAAGAAAATAGAGGTAATCAAATTACCTTCAATATTACCAACAGTAGTCACTATTGATATTTAAAGATTACCAGAATTTTATATTACTTGACAAACCAAACATGGTAATCATCACTATTGATATTTGAAGATTACCAGAATTTTATATTGCTTGACAAACCAAATAGGGGTGTTCAAAAGAACCAGTTGGAACCAGAACCGGCGGGTACCCTAGGTTTGGTTCCGGTTCCTACCCAGAACCAGTCATCAATGGGTAGGTTCCAGTTCCAAATTTTTGAAACCAGAACCAGGAACCGAGACTAATATAAAATAAAATTAAAGATTAGGGGGGTTAATAAAAACTTTTGTAGAAAAAGTAATGTGAATACATTTATATTTATATTTCATAACATTTAAAGTAAGTTGGTTTGACTTTTGAGAATCTACCTTAACAAAGTAATGGAGTTTGTAATTTTAAATTTATAATTTGTAATTTTATTTTTGTTAATAAGTGCCAGGTGGGGGGGTATTTGTAAGTTTTTAAGGGTTTTTTTGCCATTTTAAAAACTTTTGGGGGGTCATGTGATTTTACAGGGTACCCAGAACCGGAACCAGAACCGGAACCGTTGTTACAGGTTCTGGATTTGGGTATCTAGGAACCGGAACCGTCGGTTCTGGTTCTGGTTCCAAATTTCAAGGAACCGTCGGTTTCGGTTCCGGTTCCTTCAAAAAATGTAGGGTACCTAGAACCGAACACCCCTAAAGCCAAACATGGTAATCAAGTAATATAATATGGTTTAAGCCAAGTAATCTCACATAACCCCCAACCAAACGCCCCAAAGTGTTTTTTCATGTAAAATATATTAATTTTAAATTAGAAAGACATATAAAAATATTTTACCCAAAAAAAAATATTTCAGAAACATTTTTTTATGAAAACAAATTATGAATTTTCATTTTTCTAAACTTAAAGAATGCAAAAGGATAATGAGAAGTGAGTTTTGGTCACTTCAAAGCTCAAACCAGTTCAGTTTTCTATTCCTCTTTTCATGTACAGAATCAGTTAAGACTAAGAGATGTCTAAAATTTCTTCTTCTAAATTTACAAACCCTGAAGTTTTCTTATCTTCTTCGAAACTCTTAACCACTCCAAAGTTTCCTTGTTTTTCCACTTTAAGCCTTTCTCTTTTCTCCAAATTCCCTCCATGTTTTCACCCAATTTCTCACTCTCCAAGAAAAGCTCTGACCTTGGTTTTGTGTAAGCCGTTTGAAGCAGAGGAAGAGCTGTCCTGTACAGAAGATGAGTGGCTCAAGAGACTCCCAGATAAGTCCAAGCCTTTGTACTCTCATAGTTTGCCCTGCATTGAAGCTTGGCTCAGAAATTTGGGGTTTTATCAGAGTAAAGATGACCGGGCTGTTTGGTTGATTGAAAAACCTGATTGGTACGCTCAGTTGTCGCTTGATGTCACTGACCTCTACATAAGGTAAAAAATTTTGGGTTTTTGTATCTGGGTTTTTGTTAATTTGGCAATTCATGTTGAAACTTGAATTGTTTTAATGTTTTCTTGAAGTTGCCAGCATTGGGTTAGCGTATTTGTATTCTTGTTTTTCTTGTTGGTGATAAAGGTTGATTTTGAATTTTTATGCTTTAATGATTTTTGGTGCTGAGAAGTTTTATGGAAATGAATGATTTCACTATGGCTGGTTACATGACGACACATAAACTTAGAAGCAATTAATTGGGTGGTGATAGTTTACATAAATATTGAATACCTTAATCTGTGTATGATAAAAATGGCGACTTGCAATAATGTGCTCAAGTGTCATTAGCTAGATGAGGCTTCAGTAGTCAAGGGCCATCAAGTGAGTGGCTTTGAATTAACTTAATTCATGAACTAGTAAATGGAGAGGTTTGAGCTTGTTACGTGAGGCCATCATCCAAACTGTAACTCATTTGGACTTGCATTCTTTTATACCTGCTGATCAGCAATAGCCATGAGTCATATTTCAACTGATTATCAGAGATCTGTATCTCACCATTAATAGATCCATCTACAAGCCAGAGTTACGTCAGTAGACACTTCAAATCTTTTTTATTCTTAACCCTGAAGCCATGGGGTAGGCTGTGGTATTTGAAATCAGCTTGATCCTGTCTTTAATGATTGAGCATGATCTACACTTAAGTGATCGTTCATCACAGGTTTTTGTAGTCTATTTCAGTCCCTATTTACAATGTTTGTTTTTCCTTTTGGAGCTTGTAAAGTGGCTGGGTTTTATGCCCAGAACAAAATTTACTGTCTTGCCGCCTTGTCAACATATGATGGTTGAACAATGGATAAAGGATCAATAAGTTATTCTATATAAGTTCAGGATTGTAGCAAGGACGCTTAAAAGCTTTAGAATCAAAACGCTTCTAAGTTTCCAGATACAAGAGTTGGTATCTGGGAATCATTGTGTAGATACACTGCTAACCAACTTGTTACTCGCATGGAGATATGCAATAATAAAACGGGACAAAATTGCAGTAAGGACGCTGAAATGGATGAGCCTGAGTGAAGAAAAGTTAGGATGGTTAATGGGTATCAATTGTGAAATTTGAACGTTGCATTGGAGGCTATCAGTACGTTTTTGAGAAGGTTTGGCAACATCTAACTATTAACCTTTGGAGTGGTGTTACCTGCTGTTATTCTCTGAAGTCTGGACAGTTTTTCTGATGATTGAGTAGTCATATTTGTCTGTTTCATAAGGTTTTCTATCTGCTGCCGGCCCTTAATTTATCGTACTCAAAATGCGGCTCCTTTGGTATAGACTATAGTTAAATAATGATGATTGTAGTCTGATAATTCACATCAAGTCTGACCCTGTAAACTCAGTCACTTATGGCTGATGTAATCCATTAGTACACAGTCAGGTTGAGAACTAGAGATTTGCATAATAACAAGAACATTTTCAAATTTAGTTTTTACTGATGTTGGTTTCCTACAATGTTCACATTATGCATTAGGAAAATTGATACTGGTTCAGCATTGCTCACGGAATTTTAGTGGACCGTTAACGCTAAGATGATCATTTCTTGTGTTGCAGGTACTTGAAGAGTGGACCTGGGAATCTGGAAAAAGATGTGGAGAGAAGATTCAGTTATGCATTGAGTAGAGAAGATATAGAGAATGCCACACTTGGAGGACCATAAGCAATCCAGCATCTGCTTTGGTCTCATTAGCAACATTTATGAAGATAACTTTTTCTCTAGGATTTCCAAAACCAGGAAGAAATTTAAATTACAAATGCTATGTTTGGTGATATAATCAATGAAATATTGGTTTCTTGATATCTTCTTTTACTGTTTTGGTCGCACCTCTCTGCTTTACTTTATCCTAATTTCTAAATACTCGTAAATTCTCATTGTTTAAAAAATTCATTAAAAAAATCTTCGAAAGATAAGGACAAACTGGGCTAAGCCCATGAATAATACGGCGCCGTGTCCTGTGGGTCTATTTTAATCTCAAAAGAGTTTGGAATCATTGTACCGCCATTCCCTTCCCGCCAAAGGCCGGCTCCTATACGTCGTCGTTGGTCTTTCTGAATTTACTCTTTCCACTTCTCCATCCCTGCAAACACCATTGCTGTTTATCTGAACTCAGATCTAAACCCTGAAACCAAAAAATTTCAAAAAGAAATTAAGAAAAAAGACCTCTATCTTATTTCATTCAATGGCAACTATACGCGATTCAATCACAGACTACAGCAAAACGCAGCGTATAGTCCTCTTAATAGACCTTAATCCACTTCTTCATCTCCAAGATCCAGAACCATTCTTAGCCACTCTGTTAACTTCAACAAAAATCCTAATTTCATTCGCTTCTCTTTCTTCTTCCCTTTTTGCTTTCAAATTCTTCTTTTCATCTCTCTCTCCACTTCTCTCCTCCTCAAAGCTCCCTTTTCCTTCTCTTTCACTCTCCTTTGGCCAACCAGAGACCACCATTCAATCACTAAACACTTTCCTTCTTAACCCTTCTCTCAAAAGTATTTTCTCCAAAACGTCCTCGTTTTCCTCGCCCCGGGCTGCCAATGTTGCCGCGTCCATGCGTCAGCTGGTTCATGACTACGCGTGGGACACGGATGGTAAGATTCTTGATTCTGTTTGCGTGAGGTCTAATGTGGTGGTTTTGTTTTCGCCAATTTTGAAATCTGTAAAATGTTCGAGTGAGTTCTTGGATGTTGATGTAAATGATGAGTGTTTGAGCGATGTGGGTTTGTTTAATGACAAGTTTCGCGGGTTTTTTGGAAGTGTAAACGATGCCTTTCGTAGGAGGGATATTCATCTTAGTTGGGTAGATGTCAAATGTGGATTAGATTCTGGTGATGCTAATGAAATTGAATTGAAATCTTGGGTTTTTGATTGCGGGATTAGGGATTTAGGTTGGGGTTTTTGCTCTAGTGATTCAATTGTTTTGGGTTCTGGTCTTGTTCATTTTGGGTTGATTTATCCAATCATAGGGGTTTCATCGTCTTCCCATTTGTCAAATTTTAATAATGATTACTCTAAAGCCATTCGTGCACAATTGAATCTCAAGATATTAGATGTTAGTGGGAAGCCTTTAGAATGCAAGGTTAGTGATCTTGAATTGGTCAATATGGAGATGTTTTCTAGGAATACAGATAAAGATAGTTTGATTCCCGTTGAGTTCATGGATTCGCAAATTCGGGGATGTGAAAAGAACAGATTTTGGGGACATTTTGGCGATAGAATCATTAAGTTCCATGTTAAGGCTGTGTATAAATATGAGGAGGGTGTAAATTTTGACGGGCTGTTTTCGGATTCCATTCTTGTGCGTGAATTTTCAGGAGAATCAGTGAATGATGGGAAGGAGAATTCTAGTGAGTTTTTTGCGGATAAGGTTCTGAAAATTCTTGCTAGGGAAATGGGTGGATTGCTGCAGAAGAAGGGCATACCCATTTGGCAAATTTTCCTCAGTTTCCTCTACAGAAGAGGTTACTGGGCTTTGGTATCTCTTCTAAATGGCAATGGTGAATCCCATATGGGTATCCTCAAGCCTTTTACAATTTTCTCAGCTCTCTTATCTATTGTAGATGATGAGTCTTGTTCTCACAGTAAAGTAAATGAATTTGGTGGAGTGGATCCGGCACCATTTGTCATGACAATGGACAATGAGATCTGTAAATCAAATGGACTTGCTGCACTAGGAGAAGTTAAAAGGAAAAAGAAAAAAAGACATTTGCATTTGCTTCAAGACCTCACATGGGATGCTTTCTGTAAGGCAGCTTCTGGAAACACCATGATAGATTTTGAAGAGGTCTACTTTGCCACAGAATGTAACTCTAAGAAGTTGAAATTTTTGAAGTGTTGGATGAAACAGATTGAGAAATCCAGCAGTTGCAGCTTGATGACCGGGGAGAAAGCCAAGCAACATACGGACATTCCAAAAGAAATGGAAACTAGACTAGCTGAGTTGCCTCAAGATAGTGAACAACCAATACCTTCAACTGCTTCCATGGGAGAGGAAGCTTTGACCAGTGCTTCTAGAATACAGGATGATGCTGCCCTTGACATGCGCTCTGAAACTTCTGAAAGTTTTTTCAGCAATCTTTCCATCAAAATGCAGCAAGGTCTTGAATCTGAAGGAGTAGACTTGGGGGCTTTGGCAGAGCGACTTGTGAACTCATCCATTTATTGGTTGTATCAAAAGCAGGACATTGAAAACACTTCTGAGAGTCAAACCCCAGCGGTAAAACCCGATGATGCTTGTAGCAGCATAGCTGTTATTGAATTGAAGAAGCTTTTACTTAGGGAGCCCAAAGACTTGATTGCAATGCACAAAAACAATGATCCTTCCACTAAGGAATCTAATCCCAGGCCTGCCAGATTTACATCAGAAAGTATAGTTAGAGAGTATCCTTTTTATATTTCTTTTTATGTGGATGCTATGCTTTGATCTTCCTATTATCTTTATATTTTATCATATATGTATATATTGGTTCTTTTATGGATCTTAAGTGGGTTATTTGGCCTCTACTACTGCAAGACTTCCTTAATGAGCACAAGATATGAATTGCAAATTTTGTTTCGCATGGAGATTCTTCAATCAGAGATCAGATCAAGTATTGAGGAGCCTGTGAAACAGAAATTCGTGAGGCAGATTTGCTTGCTTTTAGAGGCCATCCAGTGCCACCTGCAGGGTGGCTTCTTTGGTGATTGGAGCCTTGATAATTATGTTCAAAAGATCATTAAAGATAGGTATGTGTATTTAAATACACTAAAGCTAGGACAGCCCTTCTTAAAGTATTATGTTTACACAATATGCAGAAATGGCTTCCCAAGTCAAGGCAAATGGGTGTTCATTCATTATTAGAAAAATATTGCTTTGCACCATGTAGGCTGGTTCTGTATCTTTAACATCTTATTTGGATGACATCATACTATATTCTATTCATTACTTAAGTCTTTTCATTTTGATGAGAAACTAAATTCATTACTAAATCTTAGTTCATCACCACCAACCTAGAAATAGATGGAGCATCGACACAAGTCCTTTTTTACATGCTGTACTTACAGATTCACTTCAGCTTCAGCACCATTGATTTTTCCCGTTAAACATGCAAGCATTCCATTATTGCTTAGACAAGGAACACAAAGTAAATGTAATAAGTAACGTTTGAATGTGCATAATTTCAGGTATTGTGACACTCTTGGTGACACAGTTCACAGAATCTATACGAAAATGGACTTGTTACTTTTTGCAGATGAGGATGAAAGTCCTAATCATTTACTCAATAGTGAGGATAGTAATCAATCATGGAGGGATGAGACGGGTGAAAATTTTCGAGTAAATAAATCAGTCTCATTGGAAGATGAGTCCCTACAGCTGCATGAAAATGATGATGAGAATCCTCAAGGGATTCGAAGGGAGGAGCATGCTCGAAAAGTAATGGAAGCTCATGAGAGGCGAGAAAGGGCTCGAAGATTTGCATCTTTCACAAGTTGGGTGCCAGATTTGCAAAGAGTTTGGGCCCCAAAGCAGCCTAAGGCAATGAAACCAAAGTCAAATTGGAAGCTTCCAAAAAGAAAGGATCATAAAAGTGCAAGCTACGACAAGGTATGTGAGACTCCAATGACAGGAAACAAACGTTCTTGTTCAATAGAAAGCGATACTGATGAATACGTCCACCAAGATTCTGGGTCTCGCACTTGCAGTTCTGTTTCCAAGGCTTTGTTTCAAGATAACCGGTAGCATACCAATTTTTAAGCTATCCTGACGAGTGGCATTCTTACAGAAATCATTTGTGAAAAGAATGAAGGCTTAGTAAGAGCTAACTACTGATCATGTGCAGTTGTCTTATACCAATGAAGCTTCAGCCAAATTTGGTTCCAACTTAATCATCAGAGTTGGTACTTTTTCTTCCAACTCTAGTTTTTCTCTTAATTCTTTGTAAAATAGTTTTAATATTAATTGGTTGTAACATTGAAGTAATTTCATCTTCTCCATAGTTTATTCCATTTCCATGTACATTACAGAATTCTCAATATTATAAATCATATACAGACACAGAATTGTGCAATTTTTTCCTGAATATGCTTTTTATTCTTCTTTCAATGTTCAGTTTGCTATTATTAAAGTCACTTTGTATAGCTTCATTCTCTCCCACAGTTTGTAGGCAATAGAGTCATCATATACCACCCCATCGTAGCAGACATCAATTTTATTTTATTTTTTAATTTTATAATAAATGAGCATCTCTTATAAATACATCACCTAGATGACACTTCTTAGTTAAGGATGCCTGGTTTTTTTTTTTTTTTTTTTTTGGTTACATTCAAAACTCTTGTTTATTAATATTTATAAAGTTTAATGAATTTTGTATTGATAATAATAAATTATTAAGTAGAGAAAGGGATATATTTGACGGACGTCCTTCCACAACAAGAGGCACAAACATCGCATGTCGATACATTAAGTTGATGGTAGCCATCAAGGGCGATGGACCTTCGGTATCTATACCGTTCGGTTTATCAAATCTGTCAACGTTTATAAAGCAGTAAGTATTTTTTCAAAGATAGTAACCCATGATTAATGAAAGCCATAACTCTTCTTTCCCGCCAATTTTCGACAGCCAAACAACTTAAACCTCTGTTTTCATCAACCCAAAACACAGTGCTCACTGAAGACTTGTGTAGCAAAATATTAGACCAATACCCAGCTATAAAAACGTTGAAAGAACTCCATGCCAAGATATTGATTGACCAAAATTTTCAATCAAACCCATCATTGGGAATCAAATTGATGAGAGTTTATGCTGCTTGCGGACAAACAAGAGCCACACGCCACATATTCGATGAAATTACTGACAAGAATGTTGTTTTCTTCAATGTCATGATCAGAAGCTATGTGAACAACCATTTGTATCATGATGCTCTTCTTGTTTATAAAACCATGTCTAGACGTGGATTTGATCCTGATCATTATACTTACCCTTGTGTCTTAAAAGCATCTTCTGGGTTGAATGATTTGCAGGTTGGTTTGCAAATTCATAGTGCTGTTGTAAAAGTTGGGCTTGATTCTAATTTATTTATTGGAAATGGGTTGGTTGCCATGTATGGAAAATGTGGTTGTTTGATAGAGGCTCGACAAGTTCTTGACGAGATGCCAAGTAGAGATGTCGTTTCTTGGAATTCGATGGTTGCAGGGTATGCGCAAAATGGGAGGTTTGATGATGCATTGCAAATCTGCAGAGAAATGGAATCATTAAGGCTAAAACCTGATGCCGGTACTATGGCTAGCCTATTGCCAGCTGTGACTAACACGTCTTCAGATAATGTTTTGTATGTTAAAGAAATGTTCATGAAGTTGGCTAAGAAGAATTTGGTTCCATGGAACGTGATGATTTCAGTGTATGTGAATAATTCAATGCCTGCTGAAGCAGTTGATTTGTATTTGCAGATGGAAGAGCATGATATTGAGCCTGATGCAATCTCTATTGCTAGCCTTCTTCCTGCTTGTGGAGATCTTTCAGCTTTATTGCTGGGAAGGCAGATTCATCAGTATGTTGAGAGGAAGAAACTTCAGCCAAATTTGCTTTTGGAGAATGCATTGATTGACATGTATGCAAAATGTGGAAGTTTAACAGAAGCTAGGGCAGTGTTTGATCAAATGAAATTCCGGGATGTTGTGTCTTGGACTTCTATGATCTCTGCTTATGGAATGAGTGGGCAAGGTTGTGATGCTGTTGCACTCTTCTCAAAAATGCAAAGATCAGGTCTATCTCCCGATTCAATAGCCTTTGTATCAGTTCTCTCAGCTTGCAGCCATGCTGGGTTGTTGGAGGAGGGGCAATACTACTTTAATTTAATGACTGAGCAATATAAGATTAGTCCAAGGATAGAACACTTCGCTTGCTTGGTGGATCTTTTAGGACGGGCTGGGAGAGTAGAGAAAGCATATAGTTTTATCAGAAAGATGCCAATGGAACCTAATGAAAGAGTTTGGGGTGCTCTGTTGGGTGCTTGTCGGGTGTACTCAAACATGCATATTGGGCTCCTGGCAGATGCCTCGTTTTTCAATTAGCTCCAGAGCAGTGTGGCTACTATGCTTATTATCCAACATTTATGCAAAGGCTGGTAGATGGGAAGATGTAACAACCGTCAGGTCAATCATGAAAAGAAAGGTATCAAGAAAATGCCAGGTGCTAGCAATGTTGAGATCAACGATCGGGTTTACACCTTTTGCTGGTGACAGGTCGCATGCACAGTCCAGGAGATCTATGAGGAGTTGGATATATTGGTAGGGAAAATGAAGAGGAGGTTATATTCCAGAGACTGATTCAGCTCTTCATGATGTGGAGGAAGAGATAAGGAATGCCATCTGGCAATTCACAGTGAGAAATTGGCCATTGTCTTTGCAATCCTGAATACTAAACCTAGAACACCAATCAGAGTCACCAAGAACCTTCGAATTTGTGGTGATTGCCATATGGCAGCCAAGCTTATCTCCAAAATTGCTGAGCGTGATATCACAATCAGGGATACTAACGGTTTCACCATTTCCAAAATGGTGTCTGCTATGTGGGGATTATTGGTGATGCTGACTTGGTGTATTCACTCATGTGTTGCTCAGGTTTGGATTTGTTTGGACTAATTTATATGAAAGGCGGGAAGCTTACTATAGAAACATAACTTGGGGATATTGCAACCACCATGATCCTGAGCACAGGAGTTTACAATGATTCAAATGGTAACTGAAATAATTTTTGCTGGTACTGCCGACTCAATTCGGCCTGCTGCATAGTCGATGGTCCTCTGTTTATAATCATCTAGAGCCCATGTATTATAGTATGTTATCATTATTGCTATTTCAGGTGACTTCATATGGCTGTTGCAATGGCAACAATGGACTGAAAACTGTTATGCTATTAATGGGCTCACCACAACCCTTCCTGATAGCCATTGATGCACAGCTCGAAGGTTAGCTTTAACACTGGGTTAAATAACCATATTCATGGGCAAGCTGCAACTGATTTTTCGTTTGCTTTTGCTCTGAGGAACAACATCAAAGCTCGGCAGTAGAAATGAACTGTGCTTTGTTCTAGTATTCTACAATTTTTTTAGTACAAGTTGATTGAGAGTTTACATTGTTTCTTAGCAGATGTTGGTAGAATGAACTTGTGCTTTGTTCTAGTATTCTACAATTTTTTTATACAAGTTGATTGAGAGTTTACATTGTTTCTTAGCGGATGTTTCTAACTTACATAAATTGTCAAACCCTGTAATTTTTAACTCTTTAGACACATTCAAAAAGATGTCCGTTTGAAATTATCTCCTTTCTCTTTTCCAGTAGAGAATTCTAAGATTGAAACTTGAAAGCAATCACTTTAGATGTGGAACACAGTTGCGTTAAAGGCTGACCAAGCACTGCCTTGACTTTTCCTTTTAAACTGCAACATTAATAAATAGCCCTCTTTGACTCATTTTTCACCTGTATGCAGATAGTCTTTTCCCTAGTTGACATTTTGTTATTTTTAATGCAGATCATTAGTTCTAATTTTTAATTTTGTTAAGTTCTTTAGTTATTGGCGTAACTTATCCAAGAGTCTGTGTTCTAATCACAGGAAAAATAATTAGATTTAAAAAAAAAAAAAAAAAAAAAAAAAAACCTAAATATTGTAGATACGAAAACAACTAATCCTACTGATCTAACTGTTTAAAGCATGAAGAGACAAAGTCGGCTCGTTGCTACACACCACAATACACGACTTCAATATGGAGGGCTTGGGAGCCCAATAATAAATAATGGATGGACATAACATTATGATGATCGAGATTTTTCAGATCCTGCTCAAAATAAAATCAAAACTTCAATATTAACAGAAATAAATAACAGGAGCATGATATTTGGTCTTGGTCAGCGGTCAAAGTAAACAATACAGAAAAATTCTTCACAGCTCCAGTCCTTTAGGCTTAAGCTCCTATATAGGAGCAACCACTGCATAGATATAGCATACTTGAAAAAAAAAATGGCTACAAAATCTCAAACCACACAAATTTCTCTCCCTGCTGGCCCTTTCACCGCTTATTGGAACCTCCCATGGCGGTGGCATAGCCATCTACTGGGGCCAAAACGGCAACGAGGGTAACCTTACCTCAACATGTGACAGGAAAATATGCCTGTTAACGTAGCATTTCCAACAAGTTTGGCGGCGGGCAGACCCGGAACTCAACCTTGCAGGCCATTGCACCCTGATTCTGGCGGGTGCAAAATTGTTAGCACTGGTATAAAATATTGTCAGGGCCGAGGCATCAAGGTGATGCTTTCTCTTGGAGGGGGAATTGGTAACTATACTCTTACCTCTACTGCTGATGCAAAAATGTTGCAGAGTATTTTGTGGAATACTTTCTTGGGAGGAAGTTCAGTTCCAGACCTTTAGGTGATGCTGTTTTGGACGGAATCGATTTTGATATCGAGAGTGGTTCAACTAAGCATTGGGATAATCTTGCTCGTTTCTTATCGGCTTACAGTAAGCGTGGAAAAAAAGTGTACTTAACAGCAGCTCCTCAGTGTCCATTTCCTGATAGATTGCGGAACTGCAATAACACAGGGCTTTTTGACTATGTTTGGGTTCAATTTTACAACAACCCACCTTGTCAATACACAACAGGAGACACTTCGAATCTTTTGAATTCATGGAACAACAATTGGGCGCCATCCTTGAAGGGAGGGAAGCTTTTTTGGGGCTGCCAGCAGCCCCAGCTGCAGCTGGAAGTGGGTATATTCCTCCTGATGTGTTGAAGTCTCAAATACTTCCTGAAATTAAGAAGTCGGCTAACTATGGAGGCGTAATGCTTGGTCAAAGTTTTATGACGATCAAAATGGGTACAGTTCCACCATTAAAGCAAGTGTTTGAAGCAGCGAATTAGCTTGAAGGAAAGTGTAGAATACACTAAACAACCGGTGTCATTTTGCTTTGATTTCTCTAGTGTTATCCATTATCTCCCCATTTAATAAAATGAAAAAGCTTCTCTTTTCATGATTTGTTTCTTTTCTTGTTAATTTTATCATAATTCCATGATTAGTGCGAATGTTTGGCTGCTTTGCAAAATATTAATAGGGAATTGTTGACTTCTGAAGTCTTGGCTTCAAGGTCAAGGTAAACAATGGTGTCTATTTCTTAAGCTGAAGTGTTGTCCATTATGCCCAGTAATGGGTCGAAGTCGTTAAGGGCTAATCTTGATCTATTCGGCCCAATTAAACTTATGATGGGCGACAACGGTCCGTAAATAATGTATTGTATGTTGAAGAGTTTTGTCTAAAGTGTTATCCATTATGCCCAGTAATGGGCCGAAGTCGTTAATGGGCTGATCTTGATCCACTCAGCCCAGTCAAATTTATGATAGGCTATACCGGCCCGTAAATAATGTACTGTACGTTGAAGAGTTTCCAGTCTAAATTCTAGACGAAAGCAAATACATGCCCTTAGTGTTGCATAGCTCAAAGGAGAGGAACTCAACCACATATATATGCACCATATAGTCCACTAAATTGACGATGTAGGACAAATACAACCTTTAACAAGCTTGAAGTGAGAAGAATATCGTTGAAGTTAATTTGTGTTCAATATGGTAATTTGAAATAACTAAATATGGTTATCACTATACGAGTGATCATGGTACATACATGCATGAAAAGTGATTTTAAATTTTAGTTCACACCACAAATATGTCAAATACTCCCTCCGTTTCTTTTAATTGTCGTTTTAAGACTTTCTAAAATTTTCAAAATTAAAGTCGTTCTGCCTTTGTCTTGTCTGCACCTTTCATCATGCCTTCTCCACTTTTTATCATCCCTCTCTCTTCCATTTCATCTTGTCATTGTTTACTTTTTGCCTCTGTCCTCTTTAATTTTTATCTTTATCTTATCTCTTCCTTATTTTCCATCGCCACCTCTTCTTTCTCTAATCTGTCTCTGCTTCCATCTTTTCTCTCTTTTTCTTGTTTCCTTTTATACGTTCCTCTCTCCACTTATTTGAAGCACCCTATCGTCTCAATCTCCACCTTCACTTCTCTTTTGAGCCCTAGAAGATCAGCCTTGAACTCGTGAGTTTGGGGTTTCCTTCCAGTCCACACGGTGTTAACAAAAGCTGAAGTTTCTTGAGGGAGTTGAGAGGAAGTGACGATAGATGAGGGAAAGGAAAGTCCTTGAATGAGTTACAGACGGCACAGAAAAAGAGGATGTCTATGCGTGTGGCAAGGCGTTTAGCGATGGCGTTGAGGAGAAGTGCAGGGAGAGTGGACTAGTCTGCGTAGTGATTTGAGTTGAGAAATTTGTGATTTTTTTTTTCTTATCAAAATCATTGTCAAAATCAATTTTTGATGTTGTTGCATTATTGTCAAATTTGTGATGTCAAATTTGCATTCGTGGCTGAATTTTTGTGACTTTTGCCTATGTTTTGTTTTAGCCTATGCTGCGGGGCCTTTGATGTTGAGAAGGGCTGTGGCTGACCCAAGGGTGTGTGCTTTGCAGTAGTTTTGCTGTGGTGAGTCTTGGTTTTTCTGCTAGTTGGGGATTGAAGCTTTTGTTGGATTTCCTTAAGGTGGGCTGGAATTTTGACACTTTTTGGCTGCAAACCTTTATGTACAGATAGTGTAGTTTAATTTGTGCCTAGATGGCTTGCTTTTTTTATTGCCAGCCTTTTTTTGTCCAGTACAGACTATATAATGAAAATTCATTAGCTTATCCCTCTTTGCTTATCCATTATGAAGGTTCAGCAAATTCATTCAATGTATTTGAATATATAGAAATGCATATTGATGTAGAAGTTTCAATGCAACCACAAACAAACAAAAAGATTTTTCAAGGAAACTTCTGGATGGGAACTGTGATTAAGGAAACCTGGGTGGGAAAGTCGTTTACTCTATCAATAATAGTGTAAAAGAAAGAAAAATCCATCCACTACAATTATTAAAATGCAAGTAAGATTAAAATATAAAGTTGATTCTAGACAAAACCCTTCTCAAAGATCTTTTAAAAAATACTGCTGTAGTCATTAAGAGGCAAATGAATCTTATTATGTG